TTTTTTGTGTTCTAGGATTCAATTCTTCTTAACTCATTGCCTCTAAGAAAATTACCTTTCAAAAAAATTAAAATGATAAACCTTCTGATCAAAACCATTAACATACTATATTCTCCACTGTCAATGTTCTGACACAAATTTACAAAATTCCTTTATTTGATAAAATAAGGAGTTGTGTGTTTATATTTAATGAATATTTCAAATTTAAAATTACATTGTTTTAAAAACACCCTTATAAAAGGAAGTGAAAGGGCAAAATTTATTTAATTATTAGATTAACATAGGGCTTGTCTTCCTTTTTGAAAGAAAACTGGAGCAGGACTGATCACACACTCACCTTGTCAGAAGCCAGACAGGCTGCTTTGCACAGAAAGAGAACAGCAGCAAATACCCCTTGAGTGCTACTTTATAGTCCAGAATCATGGCTGCATGCACTTTAAGCGCAAGTTTATCTCTTGTGACTGGCATCACCTTTTTTCGGAAGGCAAGTTTCTGTTTCTTGGGAACAGAGATGGGCGTGTCTTTTTCTCTCAAGGAGAGAACAGAGACCCACAAGATTTTATCTCTCAAAAATTGGCAAATTTCTACTTTTTTAAATTGTAGTTGAACACATTACCTTTATTTTGTTTATTTATTTTTATGTGGTGCTGAGGATCGAGCCCAGCGCCACGCAAGAAGAAAAACATTATTCATAAAGTGGGGGTGGGGAAAGGAAGATGGCTGCAATTGTGCCAACATCCCTCCCTTTTTGTTTTAATACAGGGGTTTAGGGTGGCTTATGGATGGAGGTCTCTTATTATGGCTACTTCCTGATGGCATGGGGGTGGCAGCAGAGGCAGAGGCAGGTCCTAGAGGGAGTTTTTTTTTTTTTGTCAATTGAATATATTCTCACAGAGGCATCTGATTGACCACTTGGTTGTTGAAGGTCTTGGTTCTTTCCATGATGATTTCCTGTAAAATCTTGAAAACACATGGTAACAAAACTACCAGGCAGAGAATGGCAGTGAGAGGTCCCAGAAGGGGTAAGACCCAAGTCAGGATAGGGTCCAATAGGCTGGTGAGAAAGAAAGAGAGGGAATTAGCCAGAGAACTTTAGTTTAAGCTTAGCTTTTAGATTCTATAGGGTTTGTATGTTTTGTTTTATCTTTCCTGATTGGTTGATATGGTAACAACATTTTTCTAGGAGAAGACAGGTACCTCTCTTTTCTGCTTTAATTAGATCTATTGCCCTCCTGTTCTGTAGGGTGACTTCTCTCAGGGAAAGGATCTGAGTCTATAGGAGGTGGATAGCCTCATTGAAGTGTAGATGGATCTGACTAGTTCCTCACCAAGTTGGTCAAGTTGGGAGGCCAAGATAAGGCTATGTCCGAGGGCTCCCCCTACTGTCCCCAGGGTTACCAGTGAGGATATTAGACTAATGCCTAAGAGGACTGGAAGAATGACTGCCTGGTTAGATTAAGTTGGGGGAACGTGAGGACAGCCATCTCAACCAATGTATAGAGCAAGATGGGGAGATAGGACGATCAAGACACAGGACCTGGGGTAGAAGCATTGACACATGTCATGAGAGAACTATTTTGGCATAAGATGTGAGTTCCTAGGGGGTTTATATAAGAGTCTGGCCCCATGATGATATGGTGTAGACAGCAAGTGGGGTTGGTGTGGGTGTTAGACTGAGTGTTCCAGAAAGACCCATTTAGTCCTGCTGTATGAAGGGGTAGCTGTTGAGAGAATTTATGTAAGGTGGAAGTACAGGAATTGGGAGGTGGGAACACATTGGACATTGGATAGGAGAATGGCTGATTTAGGAGGATCACCCATTGGGGTACAAACGAAGCAGTCTTGTTGATAAAGGGACTAATGTACTATGTGATGTAAAAGGTAGAGAGAATAACCTGTGATTTGGAGCCAGGAAGTTTGAGGGTGTCTATTGTTTTAAGTTTTGGAAAATTTTGTGGGAGCTGTTTGTTATTATATAATGACTGCGTCTCATAAGGTGTGTGGGGCTTAGTCATAGGTTCAGATTATCTGGAAAGATCCATGAGGGTCTGGGCTTGCCACATAAAAGTTTATAGAGCCAGTTACTCCTTTTCCCATTTTGTGTCCCAAGGATAATCAATCCTGAAGGTATGTAAAGGCAGGATCCTATAATAGGGGTTTGGAGAAGGAGGGGGTTGGGACAGTCTGTTGGAAGAGCCATATCCATGTTCCATAGAATGATAATTGCAGGACCATTTGGAATATCCCTTCCAATTGAGGTCATTGGATGTGTCGGAGTTATCAGAAGTTAAGCAGAGACAGAAATTATGAGAGAAAAAGCTTCCTTGGGTATATTTGGTACAGTCAAAACAGTTGATAACACAGATTTGAGCAAAGTTGAATGTGAGGAGAGGGTCCTTTGACAACCTTTAATGGGACAGAAGGCAGAGTTGACTAAAGTGGAGGACTTTTGTCCACTGCATATATCTTAAATTGCCAAGCATAGTGAGTGCCAGAAGGATTTTTGGGAGCTGTGGGAGGGAAATAGAGAAAGAAGAGGGGTAGTGTGATCATAGTATGTGGAAGGGGAGAGAGTAAAGGAGAAAGGGGGGAGGTAAATTTCAGTTGGGGTGAAGTCCCTGAAGAATCCCTGAAATGAGCTGGAAGAGGAAAGTGGGAATAATAGGCCTTGGAAGTCCTGGGTCAGAGGCCAGCTCTGTCCATAGGATGAACAGAAATTGATAGTAATAAGAAAGGGAGAGGAAGTCACTTATCTGAGGTGGTGTGGTCTTTGGGTTGTTCTAGTACTGGGTGAAGTTTGGAGACTTTTGTCTGTTTGAGCCACAAAGTGAGGGGCCTGTGGAGGTTGTAGTGAAGTGAGGGTGAGAGCAGGTTTTGAGAGCTAAATTGTGTGTCCATTTGGGGAACCCCTTAAGCTTGGCAGAAGTTAGGGTGGTTGAGAATAACTTCATATGGTTCCATCCATTTAGGGGACAGGCCATTGAGTAGAGTAACTGCATTGGGATGGAAGGATTAGAAGAATACCATGTCCCCCACTAGAATAGGGGAGGAAGAGTTGTCTGTAGGGACCAAGTGATTAAGATCTGCATATTTCCAAATCAATGCTTGAAGGTGATTCAAAAGAGGGGGCAAAAGGTGGGGTGGAATAGCTGTGGGCTGTGGGCATAAAGTAGAGGGTGTCATTGGGCACCCATACATAAGCTCAAATGGAGAGATATGGGAGGGTTTTTTTTAGGGAGGGTTCATAACCTTGGGGGGCGCAGAGAGATAAGTGTTACTCAGTCAAGATGTAGTTTGAGAGAGAGTTTAGTGAAGTGTATTTGATGGTTTCGTTGGTGCGTTCTACCTTGCCTGATGATTGAGGGCAGTGGTATATGAAAATATCAGGGTATGTTAAGTACTTGTGTTAATTGTTGGATAATTTGAGAGATAAATTTGGGCCCATTACAGACTGAAAGAAAGAAGGCAGGCCAAAGTGAGGAATGAGTTCTTTAAGGAGGATTTTGGAAATGGTTTGCTACTGGTGGGAAAGACCTCAACACATTCAGAGAATGTGTCAACCAGGACTAGGAGATATTTGAAACATTTTATGGTGGGCATGTGGTTGAAGTCAATTTGCCAATTGTTGGCAGGTAAATGTCCTCTTACTAATGAGTTGGAATGGAGGGAGGACAAATGTTAGAGAAAGGGTTAGTTTTTTGACATTTCTCGCAGGAAGAGGAGAGGTCTTGGAGGAATTTGATATTGTGAGGGTTAGAGAGTGTTTGACAATGTCCCTTAGAGAAGACAGGTTAAGGTAAAAAAAAGTCTCACCTATCTACACTACCCTTGGTAAGGGGCTATGGCAGTGTGTTCTCATCACACATTACTTTTCTCTGTGCTATTGAAGACATCAATGTTTTTACCTGTAGAGACTAATTGTATCCTCAAAAGAGTCTTGAAGACTCTGGACTATGATGGTTGCCTATTTGCCTATGCAAATGATTGGCCATCACCTTCTGATTCCTCATCATTTTCTGTTTCCTTCATTAAGATCCCATTCACTAATGAACAAAAACTAAGAGGATTTAGTGATTCAAGTGGGTGTGAACTCTAGGAAAGTTAAGTCTGCCCTGAAGTTTCTGATAGAAAAGAGAAATTCTTACTCTTTCCAGAGTGATCCAGAGGAAAGGACTTTGTTTTGGAGACAGATGTTCTGTGTAACAACCTAGGTCAATCATCTGGTGTTCACTTGTGCTCAACCATGAATTTCCTATCAAGGAAGTAAGGATATAAATCTTAGAGTGTTACCAGGGTAGTGAGTCTTGTATAACTGCTCTCCTGTACCTATTTCTCTCCTGTACCCTAAAAACTAAACATTTAGTGCAGACTTGTGATGTGCTGTCTGTCACTTGGTACTTTTTCATAGATCCTTCATTTTGATAAAGAAGAAATTGAATCATGAAAAGACCAAATTCAGTTTATACCTTAAAGAAAGTTTTGATGTGTAGTCATGCTTTAAAATCACCACTTAAATTGTATATTATTTCTTATTTTAGGTCTCAGGGTCTCCAGATTACAGATGGCTTATTAGTCAACTCTGCCTCCTCTCATAACAATGGGAGAAATGAACAATAGAGCTACAGTCCTTGTATCCCACCATGGGGGTGAGGTGAAGAATGCTTCCCAATGATCCACTGAGGGAAGTCACTAGTAAATCATCAAAGCTCTCTTTGGAGATTAAAATCTATTCTCCTCTACCTTCTTCTTTATAGAAGCTTTGCTAATTCAAAGGCTGTGAATACTTATCTTCACCTCAATTCTGCCTGATCTCTAGCTCCTATCCTCAATAAATGTCTAAATTTGTGTTTGCAATGACAACAGAAACCATAAAGACAATAGTGTATTTAGGTGCACTGAGATAATTGGTGACTCTAAAACTATAAAGTGGCCTGAAGCAAATTTTTATCATAATTGCATACTTCAATGATAACTTTTGCATGTTTGCCCTTTTCTTGGAAATCATGCAAAACCAAAGCTTCATAACTGAATTTGTCCTCTTGGGGCTTTCAAAGAATCATACTATTCAGAAAATAGTATTTGTTGTGTTTTTGTTGGTCTACATTGCAAGTATTGTAGGCAACATGCTGATTGTACTGACCATCCTCTGTAACCCTGCACTGCTGGGCTCCCCCATGTACTTCTTTTTGGCATCATTATCCTTCCTGGAGGCCTGTTTATCCTCTGCCATCACACCGAAAATGATTGCAGACTCCCTTTATGAGAGGAAAACCATCTCTTATAAAGGATGCATGATTCAACTTTTTGCTGAACATCTATTTGGTGGGGCGGAGATGATCATCCTCACTTCCATGGCTTATGATCGATATGTGGCCATTTGCAAGCCCTTGCACTACTCTTCCATCATGAACTGGAAGCTCTGTGGCATTCTGATGGTGGTGGCCTGGTCAGGGGGCTTCTTGCATTCCATTACAGTGGTTCTGTTGACTTTCCAACTGCCCTATTGTGGGCCTAATGTCATTGATCATTTCATGTGTGACTTGTACCCATTATTGGACCTGGCCTGCACTGACACTCACGTCCTTGGCCTTTTAATGGTTGCCACGACTGGGTTTATGTGCATTATAATCTTCTGCTTGTTGCTGGTCTCCTATGGTATCATATTGTTCTCCCTGAGAAAACACAGTGCTGAGGGGCGGAGGAAAGCTCTGTCCACCTGTGGATCTCACATTGCTGTTGTGGTTTTGTTTTTTGTCCCATGCATATTTATAAATGCCCGGCGTCCTTCTGTCTTTTCCTTTGACAAACTGGTAGAAACCTTTTATACCATGTTCACCCCCTTGCTCAATCCCTTGATTTATACTTTCAGAAATAAGGAAGTGAAAAATGCTATAAGGAAAATGTGGAAGAGATTGGTGTTAGTTTCTGATGAAAAATATTAGACGCAAAAATAGTATAAAGAGCAAAGCAATCAAATGGTTGAAGACAAAGCTTTATAGGATGCTCAGTACCTATTAAGATGTAATACACTTCTATAGAACAAGAAATTATTTTGGCCATCAAAGATGATGTTTTTTATTTTTATAGCAGGTGTCTACTTTGAGTTGGCAACTCAGTATCTAGATATGCAAATTAGAGAAAGTTGACCTTTATGCTTACCTCAAATCTAATAATAATAATAAAGAATGGAGAGAAAAAATATTTGTCAAAATGTTAGACATTAACTTTATGCTTTCCAAAATCTTGGGTGACAAAACAAATACATCTTTGACATGAGGATTAGAATCTTACTCAAACTATTTCATTTGGGAAAAAAAAAAGATTTATTTAGGAGGGTGAACTCAGTGATTCTGAATCAAAAGTAACCTGAATTCAGGAAAAGCACACAGAAGAGCAATAATAGAACTGCTGCAGAAGTTCTGCATCAGATGACTCCATTAATGAAAGGGATCCATTAACATTTCTATATAATTGATGTAGCCTCAGGAATTTCTTGACAGATAAACCCTGGGTGGCCCAATGCTGCCCACTAAGAGTTCCTCCTGGGCAACAATCAGGCTAAGAAGAGAGGAGGCATCTCCATACTGATTTCCAAATTGGCCGCACCAATTTGCAGTCCCACCAGCAGTGTACAAGTGTACCCTTTTCCCCACATCCTTGCTAACACTTGTTGTTGTTTGACTTCTAAAAAATAACAAAATCATGGCATTTGCAGGGAAATGGATGGCATTAGAGCAGATTATGCTAAGTGAAGTAAGCCAATCCCTAAAAAACAAATGCAGAATGTCTTCTTTGATATAAGGGGGGCAACCCAAAACAGAGCAGGGAAGAAGAGCATGAGAAGAAGATTAACATCAAACAAAGACTAGAGTTGGAGGAGAATGTGAGAGAGAAGGGGAATTGCACTGAAGATGGAAGGAGACCCTCATTGTTATACAAAAATACATATAAGAGGATGTAAGGAGAAGGGGGGAAAAAGAGAGAGAGAGAGAAATGAGTTAAGGTAGATGGGGTAGAGAGAGGTAAGGGGAGGTGAGGGGAAAGGAGGGGAAGGAGGTATGAAGGGGATAGGAAGGGCAGCAGAATACAACAGACACTAGTATGACAGTATGTATAAACGTGGCTGTATAACCAATGTGATTCTGCAATCTGTACAAGTGGGAATAATAAGAATTCATACCACATTTGAATCAAATGTATGATATATGATATGTCAAGATCAATGTAATGTTTTGAGCAACTAATAAATTTCTGATGTTTAAAAAAAAGAAAAAGAAAAAAATATATATAAAAATGAAAAAAAAAAAGAGAGGAGGCAGATTCCAGGAGGGAGTCAGCCATGTGTATCTCCTATTCAAGCACAAGCAAAGGGAATTCTGAAGATGCTACATTACCAAGAAAACCAGAACTAACTGAAGATATGAAGAGCTGATTCCTCACAGCCCCAAAGAAGGATTAAATCTAGGGGCATCAGAAAATGCAAGGAAGTCTCAAAAGATTACATCTCAATTTACTTCGTGATTTAAATTTTTGTGAGTTTTTGCCACCAATTGAAAATAATTCTATTTGAACAGTCATCAATAAGATCATTTAAATTTAGATACATCTTATTTTTTGTTCCCATAGTTGAGATTGTTTAATATATGAAGTTGCCATGTGGCTTCTGAAATAATTGCATTTACACAAAACATTTCAATTCTCCCCTAGCCTAGCAACATGAATAAAATGCCCACCAAGTATTGTGGGCAATAATACTGATTTTTTTTCTGTAATCAGTCAGGCCAGGCTCAAAGTAGAAGAGTGTATATAATAATTGACTTCCCAAGAACAGATATGGACAAATATATATAAGATTTAAATGCTCTTTGGGGGAATTAAAGCCGTTGAGGAATTAAAATTTGCTCTAAAACACCAACTGGGCAAAGTATGAGCCCTACAGCAGACCAGGTGTGTCACAGAGGCTTAGGCATGCCAGTGCACCTGTCCTTCACTTTCCTTTCTTGTCCATCAGCTGTCTGTTCTCATAGCCGGAGAAGCTTCATGTCCTTTCTTTTCACACAGTTCTCTTCATTAAGTACTTCATGTATCTCTAGGGTCCAGCTTGAAAAGCGAGGAATTGATATCACTGGGCACTGGGTCAATTAATTTATGGTTCTCTGAATCCAATATTTGAAATAGTGTAAAATAAAAGGTTATTCAGGACAGATTGTAGTGACCACACAGATTCAGGTCTGATCCATCATGCACTTGCATACAAACATATTTTGTCATTTTAATTTCCAACCTGTTATTGTATCTTTAGATAAGAAGACATAATATTCAGTCAAGAAATAAATGAATATCAGAAGATATCTACCCAACATTTTTTATTCTTACAAGTCTGCTTACCAGAATTTGATGAATCCTGGCTATAATAGTTCTTTTTACATTCCATTTTCGATATTGATTTTTCCTAGCCATGGTGACATTTATCCCAATGTATTTTATCTTTGGCATTTTAACCATTATGTTAGTGTCATTTGGCTTATGTCATTAATTTAGTCAGAAATGCCATATCAATATAGAGTGTGGGAATTAGTGCAGTTGGATATCTGAGATAAGTCATTGGACAGAGAGCTCTTTTATAACTTAATTGATTCAGGAATTTTATTTGCTACATCATATATCCGATAAAAATTACCATTCTACTACAAATCTTGCATTATTCTCCCTCCCAGCCCTAGGTTATTTCTGCCATGGATCTCTCTGATCTTTGGACTGTGGGTTTTTCCTTCTCTCTTCCCCTGCTATTCTTCCTTTCTTGCTGTTGCTCAAAATGACATAATTTCTTTTGATTCTGACTTATCCCACCACTCGCTATCCTTTCTGCTTTCCTTGGTATAATATTTTAAACACATATATCCAATGCTTTTGGGTGGAGGTCAAGATGGCAGAGTAGAACCTGGTAGCACTCTCAGCTCCTCCATGATGCAAATGTGAAACAGCTGGAGAAGAGCTACTCAGCCAGGTGGGTGACTGAGGGGATGGAGAGAGGTTCAGTACTGGACAGTGAGATAGTCAGAGATTCTGATTATTAGAGCAGGGTGAGAAAGGTCTCACTGGCACCAATCCTGTCCCAGCAGACCTGGAGCCAGGCAGGGGAGCCTGGTGACAAAAAGGGAAAGAGAAAGAGATATAGAGAAGAATATCAGTATAGAAACACTTGCAGAACAGAAAGTAAGTCTGAACTTAGCTGATCTGGGAGCTGCATATCAAGCTGATGTGTTAGAAGTGCTTCTGAGCTTCTGCTTACAAATGGAGAGCTCCTGTAGGGAGCCAACTTGTGGGGTCATGCCTGAGCTTGCTGCTTTGGGAAACATAAAGTCCTTGCATCTTCACTTTCCCTGCAGACTACAGGAAATATTGCTATAGTATCTCAGCCAGCATCCACCTGGGGACAAATTGTGGCCCTGGTCAAATGCCACTGAAGGAAGCTGTTATGATTTGGATACGGGATGGCCATACCCAAGCTCTTGTATTAATAAAGGAATGAGAAATGGGTGGATTGTGGGAGCTGAGACAAGCAATCATCCTACTTTGAATAACTGTGTGGTAACTGTAGGCAGGTGGGGTAGACCCAGAGGGTTTGGGTCACTGTGGATGTTCCCTGGAAGCCTGCATCTCCCCTGTGGTCCTTCTCTGCAGCTCGCTGCTTCCTTGCTGCCATGAGTTGTGCAGATTTTCTTTGCTAGGACCTTGCCACATCATGTGCTGCCTCATTTGGGCGCAGAGCAATGCCATTGGCCATATATGGACAGAGACCTTTGAAACTCTCTGTCCCAAATGAACTTTTCCCCATCTAAGTTGTACTTGTCAGGTATTCTGGTCACTATGGTGCAAAAGCTGCCTAAAACATAAGCTGTCTGAGTAATGTATACACTGAGATGGCTGAAAGCAAAGGCCACCAAGGTCCACTTACCACTCGCCAGCTGTAACAGAACCTCAGCTACCCTTGGAGACAATGACCTTTATCATCTGGACCTATTGTCCTTCTCCCTGGGAACTGCAGATTATGTGGTGGGGGAAGGGGGTGGTTCTCACAGAACTGCTACCAATGCTAGGGAGGGAGCTACTGTGCTCACTGAGCCACTGGAATCACCCCAGTTGTGCTAGAGGTGGGCAGGCTGAGGCCTTTGTAAATGGGCTCTGGAGGCTGAGTGTCTCACAATTTTTGAAGCAAGATGGTTGTCTAGATGTGATAAAAAATGAATATACAGTTTTCTAGTGCAGGGATGATCTGGTTGACTTGATCACTACCTCCACACCCACATGCTTTCAAAAGTATGGTATTGTAGGTTGGATTTTTGCTACCCTGGATACCTGGTGGGTTCCCAAACCAAAAATCCTCAAAGAGATCTCACCATATTAAATACCTATGCAAGGTTTGTTGTCTGTTCTTTTGTTTTCATTGTATAATATTTATGTTGTTTTGTTTTGTTTTTCATCATTGTCTGTACACTCATTTAAGTGAGTTCACACATTTTTTTTAAAAATCAGTAATTGGATTTTTTCCCATCTCCTGTCTTTATCTCATTTTAATTCCCTTCACTTCTCCTTTTTATCTCTTATAATTTGTTCTTCTTTCTCCCTTTCTTCCTTCTTATGTTTCTTTCTTCTTTTTCCATATTGTAATATTAGCTTTATTCTCATTAATGCCAAAATTTTCCATCTACTCTATATTACTAACCCCTATTTCTTTTCTTTGTTTCATGGACTTATATACATCATTTTCAAGGAATTTTAGTAAATGTTAAATATGAAGTATGCTTCACATGATCATGTATGAGACAATGGAAGTTTTTTTCAGGAGTGAAATGATTGGGCTATGACAGCCCTAACCCAACCAGCAAATTGATCCTCAGATGTGCATTAACTAGGTGATTACTATAGGCTGGTAGTGTGT